TTTCTTTTTCCTTGCACGTTTTTTTGAAGAGGCTGGTCTTTTCCAGTTTATGGATTTGACACATTGGTCAAGAGTGGGTGGCTTTATCTGTGTGTTTATTTCTGGGTCCTCCACTCTGTTCTGTAAGTGTTTACATTTATATGTCTGAGGTTTTGTTTGTTTTGATTTTGGTTTTTTTTGTTTGTTTGTTTGTTTGGTTTTTTCTTTTTTGAGACAGAGTCGCACTATGCAGCCCTGGTTGCTGTGTGGACCATGCTGGCCACCTGTTTGACTGGGCCACTGTGTCTAGCTAAAAGCAGCTTTTCATATTTTCATTTATAGACAGGCATGGTGGCGCACACCTGTAGTCCCTGCCTTAGGAAGATTGCTGTAAGTGCAAGATAGCCTGAACTCTGCTTCAAAAAAAGAAAAATAAAAATCCATTAATTAAGTAGCTATTTAATCAAATACTCATTTACTTATTCAGCCAACAGATATTAACTGTGACTAAATTTAGCATTCGATGTGGAAATTTATTAATGAGCAGGACTGACAGAGACCCCACCCTCATAGGGCTTATAGGCTAGCAGGAAGACAACTGCTTGTGTGAGGCTTGCCCGGCAGCTCCAGGGCTGTGCTAACTGCTCTGAGGAGGTGCAAGGTGCTGTGGGACTCAGCAGGTGAGTCCAGCCTGCCAAGGGAACGGACAGCCTTGGCGGAAGAGATCCTTAGACACTCAGTGTGGGGGAGGTGCAGATGGAAGGTCTGTGAAGAAACAGAGACTAGTCCGGAGCTTTCTTTGTGCTGGAGGAACTGAAGGACCAAGGTCTGGCCAGAGTGGGGTGGGGGGGTCCCCAAGTTTGGAAGGGGAGGCCGTGAGGTCTAATGGAACCAATTCTAGAGTTCCGGAGAAAAGAGGAACAGTGGGAAGAAACATGGGACCATCAGATTTGCATCTGTCAGGGTTCCCTGTGGCGACAGAGTGGGCGCTGTGGTCACGCTGTGATGTGATTTCAATGGGGGCCGGAAGAAGTGGTCAGTTACAAGAAAAGGCTGGGGAGGTGGAATGCCATTTATTTGGTAAGGTGTGGGTGGGCTAGGAGAAGGGGCTCTGCAGTATTCCTGGCAGCTCCAGGCATAAACACCTGGTGACCTTTCAGAGGGCAGCTAGGAGAGAGCTGCTTTTGAGACATGTTAATTTTGAGGTTCTTGCCCACTGTCTTAAATTAGCATTTCATTTACAAGAATATGGAAAAGCCATTAGTAACCCTCACGCAGTTTTTAGATTTTGGTCATCTTTTTTGGGGGGGTGGGGGTTCGAGGCAGGGTTTCTCTGTGGCTTTGGGGGCTGTCCTGGAACTAGCTCTGTAGACCAGGCTGGTCTCGGACTCACAGAGATCCACCTGCCTCTGCCTCCTGGTCATCATTTTTTTTAAATGTTTTTTGAGGCAATTTCATGATATATTCCAGGCTAGCCTCAAACTCGAGATCCCCTGCCCTAGCCTCCTGGGATTAGACTCCCAAGCATAGAGGGCTAGAAAAGAAAGGGACTAAGAAAGAAAAATAGAAAAGAAGAAGACATGAAATTCACTGGGGGGGGGGTGGTGACATGCTGGGGATGTCTCGGTTGCTTACCTAATATTTGTGAAGACCTGGGTTTAATCAGGCATTATATGAACACTAATAATCCCAGCACTTAGGAGGTAGAGACAAGAGAATCAGAAGTTCTAGGCCATCCTCAACTGCACAGTTAATTGCACCAAGCCTGAGTTACAAGGGAGTTCATTGCAACAGTGAGATCAGGTCACATCTCTAAAACCAGCTGTCATGTGATCATTGGAGGGCCTAGAACTTAGAGAAGGTTGCATTCTCCCTGGCCTTGAGCATCGTTAAGGCAGCGACTCCTTGCCTTTGGTTCACTGGTTGGGGCACCGGCAGAAGGTGTTTAGCATACCTGTGAGTGGTGTGGAGCGTGAGTGCTGGGCATAGGGGCCTGTTTGGTTGTGCTTATCGGAAGTTCATTCATCTTTGGAAACACCCCTTTTCTCCAATACATAAAGATGCCAAAACCATTCTCAAGTTCAAAGTTGTTCATAGAGAATCTGCACAGTGGACCAGTCATTCATGTGCGCAGATTTCTCGTCTGGGTGTGTGATCTCCTACCTGTGACTTACCTGTAGCCAGGCTGTTCTCACCCAAGCGAAGGAGACCACGGTGAGCTCCTTATGATTTAAGAGTTTTTGATGAAGCCACACAGGCCCTACTGCAAGTCAAGAGACAGTCCCCAGCTGAGTGAGCAGGAGGCTATAAAGGTAAAAACCACAAGTTTGTTACATCTCCTTGATGTAACTGTGATGGCTGTTAGCAAGCGTGACAGGATATGAACTTTTGTTTTTGTTTGTTTGTTTTCGGGATAGGGTTTCCCTGTGTCCCAGCCCTGGCTGCCTTGCAACTTGCTTTATAGACTAGGCTGGCCTCAAATTCGCAGAGATCCCCCTGCCTCTGCCTCTCAAGTGCTGGGATTGATGGGTACCACCACACCTGGCTGAGGATATGAACTTTTAAGAAGGATAGGATGAAGTTGCGTCACCATGTTTGAGAGGGGAGCAGAAACCCTTGCGGTTACACAAGTAGAACAATACAGGTTAGCAAAACTTCCCGTAAGTACTGAGCATGCCTGAGAGTCAGCCTGACCTCAGGTTTAGCACGAGGTCAGGTCAAGATTTAGCAAATATGTTTTTCTCGCTTCACCTGAACCTCAGAACAAGAGGACAGAAGTCCCTGCAAGCCAGCCCTTGCACACGTGATGCAGACACATGCCAGTGATAAACCAGACCTTGTAAAAATTGTAATTTGTTAGTTCTGGAAACTGTTCCTGTGAGATCTGGTGACTCCTCCTTGCTCCTCTGTGGATCTTACTTTGTGCTGATTTACAATGAGGCTTTTCAGATTTCACACATTGGTCACCTGAAAACCAGTACCTGAACATAGAGATGGAACTGCCATTAGGAAACGCTGAGGTGGCTTATTTTACAAGTTAAGCTTTGCAGCACAGGCAGGAGGATCTCAAGTTCAAAGGCCAGCCCCAGCTACATAGTGAGAGACAACCATCTCTCAAAAAGCCAGGCACTGAGCCTAGTGTGGCGGTACATGCCTCTAATCCCAGCACTTGCAAGGCAGAGGCGGGAGGATCTCTGTGAGTTCGAGGCCAGCCTGGTCTGCAGAGTGAGTTCCAAGACAGCCAGGGATACACAGAGAAACCCTGTCTTGAAAAAAAGAAAATTAAAGAAAAAAAAAAAAAAAAGCCAGGGATGGAGGGTAAAGTGAAGGGCACTTGCCCAGCTGCACAAGGCTGCAGAGGGTTTGCAGTGTGACTGCTTGTTTCTTTGTTTTGATTTTCTGTTACATTTCTCTCTCTGTGGGTGGGTGTGATCAGGGGTGCTCCGGCACTGTGTGATTCGTGGAGGACAACTTGTAGGAATTCCTTCTTCCACCGTGTGCGTCTAGCAGATTGAACTTGGTTCCTCCGGCTTGGTGGCAAGCGCCATCTCATGGGCTTTGATGTTTGTGTATTTATGTTTGTTGTTGTTTGATTGTGGGCTTTTTGTTGTTTGTTTATTTGTTTTGAGGCAGGCTTGACAGCCCAGACTGGTCTGCCACTCACTGTAGCCTAAGTGGACCTGGGACCATTGACGGTTCCCTTGCCTCAGCCGCCAGAGTTCTGGATTATAAACGTTAATCAGCGTGCCCAGTTTTTACTTGTTTAATGTTATTCTTATTGTATTGTACTTCTGTGTTTTTTGTTTGTTTGTTTGTTTGTTTGAGACAAGATCTCACTATGTAGCCCTGGCTGGCCTGGAATTCACTAGGAAGACCAGGCTGGCCCCGAACTCACAGAAATCTGTCTGCTTCTGCCTCCGGAATGCTGGGATTAAAAACGTGCACCACAATACCCAGCTCCTAGCTTTGTCTCATTATGTAGACCAGGCTGATCTAGAACTTGATGTCATATCAAGTTCTGTCTTTGCCTCCCAACGGCTGGCATTGCAGACATGTACCACCACCATGCCTGTCTCCTAATTATTTTTTTTAAAGATTTTATTTATTTATTATGTATACAACATTCTGTTTCCATGTATATCTGCACACCAGAAGAGGGCACTAGATCTCATAACAGATGGTTGTGAGTCACCATGTGGTTGCTGGGAATTCAACTCAGGACCTCTGGAAGAGCAGTCAGTGCTCTTAACCTCTGAGCCATCTCTCCAGCCCACCTAATTAGTTTTTTAAAAGGAAGTTCATATCCTTAAAATGTAGTCTTTCTTAATGCTGTTTAGACTGTCAAAAGCTTTTATGTGTCAGGCTTCAAATGCCAAGCATGCCTCATATGTAAGCATCTTGCTCCCATAATGTGGAAAAAAAATCACAACAGAGTTAGGGTGGTGTCTTCAACTCTGGGTGTCCAGCAGTAGCCATTTGGATAATGGCTAATTCCATCCCAGCAAACCCCAAGATCCTCCAAATTAGCTGTTGTATTGCATGCACTGTAAAGAAGAGAGCTAGCCATTGGAACTCATGCCCTGAAGTTTACAAGCATCTTTGGTTGTTTGGGCACTACACTGCAAACCACACCTTCACCCCATCACCATCTACCCTCAGAGTACTAGTGTGGGCAAATAACAGCCTGACAGGAAGAGGCAGAGTCAGTGCAGCGCATGCTACCATCCCAGAGAGAGCAGCTAACCCCTGTGTCCCAGCTCAGACCCCATCTGCCGGAGCTGAGGCTTGGCCCTCTGTCCTGCCTGCAGGGGCCCTCAGTAGAGGCAGAAGGGGCTCAGGGAGTGGTAACTCCTCCTTTGGGGATGGGTTTCTGCTGCAACGCAGGCATTGACCCTGGCTTACAGCTCCGCAGCCCCGGCCTGAAAGCTTTGACTTGGCCCCTTTGCACTCCGACCTCTTCTGTGTTCAGAACCAGCCTGGACTGATTCGCTTTTTGTTTCCTTCCCCGGTGCACAATCCAGAAAGTCCTATGAGTTTGAAGACTTACTGCAGTCTTCTTCTGAGAACAGCAGGGTGGACTGGTATGCACAGACCAAGTTGGGACTCACACGCACTTTATCGGAGGAGAACGTCTATGAAGACATTCTAGGTAAGAGGCCAAAATATGCGTGGAGGGCTGTGAGTGTGATTCTGCCTGAGACGAAGAGAGTTGAAATGGAGTTTCTGCTTGAAGCACGCAAGCATGCACTTGAAGACAGATAGCTATGCAGTTAATGCAGTTAATGTATGAGAAAGCGGGGTAGGCAGGCTGGGAGGATGGGCCTCTGGGGGTGAAGGAGAAAGGAACAGCTGGCGATGAGCTGCTGAGCCAGCAGCAGGGTGATTGATCCAAGAAATACCTCAAGATCCAGGATAGAATCTTGGCTCTGCTAGTTGTTAGTTTTGTGACTTTAGCTGGTGACATAAGGGCTCAGAATTTGAGTCGTCTATGTAATGATGATGATGGCAGCTCTCTTGCAAGTTGCTTAGGGATTGGTAAGACTATACAAGACCTAGTTCCCAACAAAGCACCAGTTTGAGCAGGTCTGGGGGTACTTGGAGAAGTCGGGGTGCTGGGTATGCTGGCAAACGTCTTCTAGTCTCACACGAAGACCCAAAGGATCCACTTGTACCCTGGATCTTTAAGCATTAACTTAGGAGCTACTACCCCAGAAAACCCAGAACTAGAGCTGCTTTGCCCAGAAATGGCAGGAATGAAAGAGAAATACCAGGCCGATGTAGGAGAAAATAATAAAAATGAAAGCAAAATTTGCTCGGTATGAGCCTCCTCAGGAGAAGTGTGCTGAGTAGGAGTCCTCTCAGTTGAAAAGACACTGACAACTGGTTTTCTATCACGGGAATAGCTTGTACATCATGTAAAGTTTTATACATGTGGTTAAATTCACTCATCACACTTTAACTGTCATAAACACATAAACTTAAAATCATGAGTAAAAAGCTCAGTATAACCTGAAAGAGAGAAAGGAGCTGATGAGAGTGAGAAGCCCATGTGAAGGTCAGATAGGATAGATGCACGCAGACAGCAGACAGTGTACATAGGGTCATCAGTACCAGAAACGGTCCTGAAAGGAGGACGCCCAGGAGGCAAGAGGTCTTAGCAGAGCTGTTTGAACCACAGTGTCAGGCTGGGTTCCCACCCTTGGGGAATCTGTAACCCCAACTGGCTTCTCCTTTCTTCTCCCAGGGTGCCTTTGTTCTCCACAGGGCTTCCCACTGTCCCCAGGCAGGCTACTACCAGATGCCTGGGACCTGTGGCTTTCCTCTGCAAGTCCCAGCAAAAGTCCGGAGTCATTCTGGCCAGACCAGCTTGTCCTGTTTTTATTTTCAGAGCCAGAAGTGACATTCAGTAGTTGTCTTAGGCCTGGGCTGTCAGCTCTCCTGAACGCACCTCTGAAACATGGTTCGGGCCCCACAGAGCAGCAGGCCCTGAAACTGGGAATGGAGTTTATTTGATGGAGCCACAGTGGGGAGATTTGGAGTTACCACCTAGTGAAAAACCAGGGCCTGCTGCCACGAGGAAGGCATTGCCAGTAAAACAAAAACAAAAACAAACAAACAAAAAACATTCACATGAAGGAGGCCAAGATGGTGGCCCTAGTGTTCCCATAAGAAAAAGTTCAGGGGCTGGAGATGGCTCAGCAGTTAAGAGCACTGGCTGCTATTGCCAAGGACCCTGGTTCAGTTCCCAGCGCTCACATGGAGGCTCACATGTGTAATTCCAATTCCAATCTGACACCCTTTCCTGGCCTTCTCAGATACCAGGCACACACGTGGTACGTGGATAATATGTGTAGGAAAAACACCATTCACATAAAATAAAATAATTTAAAAAAAAAACAACAAAAAGCAAAGTGCTAACATTCCTAATCTGTTTTGCCATTGGTCACAGATCCACCTATGAAGGAAAATCCTTATGAGGACATCGAGTTACACGGCCGCTGCCTAGGCAAAAAGTGTGTCTTGACTTTCCCTGGATCTCCCGCCTCTTCCATCCCGGACACTTCCACCAAGGTACCTCAGGCACTCAAGTTCCTCCCATGCATCTCTCTGTCTTACTCAGCAGCCTGACTGGTCTCCTGCAACCAGCCCTCTCCACAGAGCTCCCTTTGGTCTCTAGCTCAGGACCCTTTCCTAAGTGGATCACTAAACAGCAAGGCATTCAAACTGTCCTGAGCCAGGTGTAGTGGACCTCACCTGCAGTCTGGAGCTAGAGGCAGGAGGATTGCTGCTCAAAGTTCAGAGCCAACCTGATTGACATAGTAAGTTCCAGAGTAGCCTGACTAAGAAAAGAAAACCATAAATGAACAAACAAGTAACTAAGTGCATCCTGATGAGACATAAAACGAAAAGGCAGAGTGGAGAACTGGTTAATATTGTGTACTACCATCTGTGTACACTTTTTTAAAAGGTTTCTTTGTTTGCCAGATGTGGTGGTACACTCCTTTATTCCCAGCCCTCAGGAGGCAGAAGCAGGTGAACCTTTGTGAAACTGAGGACAGACTGCTCTACATAGTAGATTCCAGGCATCCAGAGCTACAATGAGACCCTATCTTTAAAAAAAAGTACTTATTTATTTTTTATGTATATGTATGTTTTATGTGTCAAATGTGTGCAGGAGCCCTTGGAGGCCACAAGAGGGCATCAGATCCCTGGAACTGGAGTAATAGGTGGTTGTGAGCCTTGTGAGCCATCACATGGGTGCTCAGAACTGAACCCACGTACTCTGGGGTAGCTCCTAATCACTGAGTGACTATTTCTTAACTTAAAGAACACATGTATTTGAAAGCACATACTGGTTTGTGCATGTACAGGATATATCTATGAGGGAACCTAGAATGGATAAGCAGATACCCAGGGTGATATTTTGGTATCTGAGTACCCAGAGGTCAGGACTCCAAGATCTACTCCCCTTTACAGAAGATCCTTTGAACCCTTTAGGGGATCAGTTGTTGAAGGAAGTAAATAAAGGAAGACCAGATTTAAACTGCAGATGTCACTCAAATTCCATTGTGAGGGTTTGTTTGCAGCTGCATTCCTGTGGTCCCCCAGGGCAGGGTCAGCATTTGTTGGAAGGGGGGTAGGTCTTCACAGGGTGTGCTTTCTGCACCTGGTGTCAGACAGGGACTCTTCCAGCCACAGATCTAGAAGAATCGGGGACATAACCTTCTGTGAAGGGTAAGGCGTGTAGGCTCATGTGAGCTGCCTCAGTATTTGCCTGAACCAGGCAACTTTCACATAGAGAAGACTGTGTCATGAGGAATGAATGATAACCAATAATTAGCAGTGTCGACTTGCCTTGGAAACATGTTTTGTGTTCTCATTGGATATGGATGCGTCTAGCCTTTAGATACTTCTTTTCCTAGACTGGTTTAGAAAAACAAAATAAGGGCTAAGGACATGTATCAGTGGTGGAATGCACACCAGGCCCTGGTTCAGTCCCCACTGCTGGGGAAGAAACTAGGCAAAATGGCTCACACCTATAATCCAGGGTTTGGGAGGCTGAAGCAAGAAGACCACAAGTTCAAGTTCAAGGTCATCTTTATCTATGTAATGACTTTGAGGCCATTCTAGAATACATGAGACCCTGTTTCCCAAAAAGAGAGGTGCGCAGGGCTGGGGGGTGGGGGAGGGGTGCAGCTATGGATATAGCTCAGGCTATAAAATGCTTGTCATGCAAGAATGAGGACTGAGTTCAACCCCTGGAACCCATGTACAAAAGCGGGGTGTAGAAATAGTTGTTTATAATCCCAGCCCTGGAGAGGCCAGCTGAACTAGAGAGTCCGAGGGCAGTGAGAGACCCTGTCTCAAAAAGGAAGGAAAGAAGGAAGGAAGGAAGGAAGGAAGGAAGGAAGGAAGGAAGGAAGGAGGGAGGGATGGAGGGAGGGAAGAAAAGAAGGAAGAAAGGATGGAAAATAGGTGGATGACGTCTAAGGAACAACACCAGAGGTTGGCCTCTGGCCCCCACACATGTGTTTATACACACGTGCATGTGAACCCCCTCATACATAAAAAAGAAGAAAAAGAAGCAATCAGACCCACTCTGCCTCTCATCCTACCTGGCTCTCCACTTCATGCAGGGAGTCACTGCTCTTAGAAACAGCGGAAAGCCATCTGCCCTGGACAGCTGTGTTCTGAGCAAGCAGCTCCTCCCTCACACCAGAAAATGAAGACTGAGTAGCCCTTCCTGTCCCTGCTAGCTGGGCAAACCTGGAGCCTTTGCCACCACAGCAGCCAAACTAGGGTGGTAGTGATGGCACTCAAGTTTTTTTGTGCAGATGTGTTTGTCCTGGATAGCACTGTGCACTGGCCAGTGCCCCTAACGTTGCAGGCTGTTAGGGACTCTGTATCTTATGTGCGTTACTCTGTTCTCACATCTGGGTGTCTGGTCTGTGCCCCCGTTCTGAGGGACAGCTGCAGACTGCCACTTCCTCCATTTAGCTCATCAGCTATTCACTGAGCATCTTGCCACATCTGGGCTGCATCTGTGGAATTAGAAGTAGCTGAGGCAACCCCTCTGTGTTGAACTCCCCTGCTAGTCTCTGAAAGCTCTACACCATCTTTGGGATGTTCGTTTAATTAACTCCTGTCTGGTCCCAGTGGAAAGGGAGGGACGATTGGACAATGTCTTCTTAGGGAAGAGCAGATGTGCGGCCCGAGCAGATGCTGCGATCTGTGAACCCAAAGTGGTTTGGGGTGTGCGCGTATATGTGTGTGCACGAGCGTGTGTGTCTGTGTGTGCGGGTGTGCGCGCGCGCACACACCTGTGTATGCCTGCATGCGCGTGCACGCGCGCCCTATATAACCATACCCACTACTGCACAAGGAATGTGGCCGCAACTCAAGAAGGAATTGTGTGGGTGTGCGTGGCCTACACTCGTATGTTCTTGTGTATGGGTGCATGGGTGTACTACGTATGTGCACTGCACATGTGCATGGAAAGGTCTGAAGTTGGGAGCAGGTGTCGTCTTCAGTCACCCTCCACTTTAGTGAGTGAGAGTCTTCCTGTGTCTGGAGCTTTGCTACTCTGGCTAGCCAATTGCTCAGGACATCCCGCCACAGCCTCTCGGGTACTGGGCTCCCAGGTGTGCTGTCACATCTGCCCAGCAGATGTGTGAGTGCTGAGTCATCACACCTGCACAGCAAGCATTTTATCCACAGAGCCATCTCCCAGCCTCTGATTGTTCGTTTGAGATGGGAGAGGGGGGTGTCTCACTCTGTAGCCCTGGCTGGCCTCAAACTGTAACTCTCCTGCACCAGCTTCCTGAGTTATCACACAGATGTGTGCTACTACAAGTGTCAGGGACTAATTTTTACGTCAGAGAAAGATGTGCTAATCGGAGGCTGCCCTTTTCCTTTTTCGTTTTTCTTAAAATATTGGGACACTTGTTTAGCTAAAAAAGGGCTAATGATCTTGGTTTCAGTCCATGATTCCACCTCTGAGGAATCATGTCAGGGCTTCTTGACACCTCCTTCCCATCAAGATATCACCTGCCAGGACCCATCACAGCCTCCTGCAACAACCCAGGAGGCTTGAACAGGGAAGTCAGACTTCAGGCCAAGATTGTCCTTGTCTGCCTCTCAGATGCTACAGGTTGTCCTCAGTGCCCAGCCTCCATGCCTCTGGGATTACAGACTGTGCCATGGTAACACAACCACTGTGAAGGATACGTGGTAGGATGGGCGCTGTGCTGGCTGGTGTGAGCTGCTTCTGTCAACGGTAGAATCTGCTAGACAACAGCCTGAAGGCCCGACAGTGACTTCCCTTTCATGCTACGGTTAGAGTTTGGCAACCTACTGCCAGCTGCTGGTTTTTATGAAGGAAGTTGTGTGAAATTCTGAATAAAGGTGTGTGGCCCTACTGAGGCCTTTGCACGCTGCACATGCAGCCTGTGGACTTGGCATGGTTGAGAAGCTGCAGTGGAGAGGGCGTGGCCCACCCTGCTATGCGGAGTATCTATCTGCCTTTGAATATAAACTTCACTGGCTCCTAAGTCTAAGCCTCACACCCCTGCTTTCAAAAGCTTCAGTCAGCAGCAGACATCTTCTCTGTGGTACCATTTCTCCCAGTAGCCTTGGAGTCTCAGAGCCCTGGGTCAGAAACTTGCCTCTTCCTACCAAGCCTCAGACTGTGCAGAATGCTTAAAAGGCTCACCCCCATGTCTGTGGTCTTCCCTCCTGTCAAACAAGAAGCTCCTGCAAGCCCACTCCTCCCCAAAGCTCCCAGGACAGTTAGTTATTTAGGTGCTCTAGGACACTGCCGGCTCCCTTCTCCCCAGCAGTGACAGCCTGGGTGCAGCCTGCACACAGCTTCTGCCAGGCTCCTTGGCATGCTGTCTAGAGCTGAGTACGCTATTTTGGTTGCTTCCCTTCGCAGATCTTTTCATGGGTCAGATCTATAAGCAAACACTGGCCCAGTATAAATCTGGAATGAAAACAGATACCTGCTGATTGACAGCCGCTATATAGATTTCAGTGCCCAGAGCATTAGGCGTTTTCTTGGGCTTCATTGAGGTGGAATTAGGCTAAGAAGCCTGTGCCTGTGCCAAGGTGATAAAGATGCCCACACTGGTCTCAGCCGGTCAGCTCTCTACTGTTGGAAGCTTCCTGTGTTGAACAATCCTTTGCTCCTCGTAGGCCTATGATGATTGGGAGAACTGACCACGGGACAGATAGAAGTCTTTGTTCCTGGGAATTTTGGACTAGAAAAGGCTCTGAAGTTGTCAATACATCGTACTTGGATCTAAGTGAGACTGGGAAGTTCAGTGGAACAAACTAGGCCTATTCTGTGAGAGCTTACGATATATATGGTAGATGTGGCTTTGTAAATTGATTGAGAAAGAAAGGCTCATTCATGAAATGGAATAGGGATGAGTTAGCTTGAAGGGAAGTGATTTCAATTAGCATACCATGAAATAAATGACTGATGGATTAATGAATGAACTATGTTCAGAAGCAAACCAAAAAAACCAGACAAAAATAGAATCCAGTGTTTATTGAACATCTAACAAGAGATAAGTTTTCTAAGATTTTTCACCTGTTCATTTGTATATGGGTGTGTAGGTGTGCACACATACACACCCATATACATATACCATTTCGCGGTAGCCTGTGAAGGTCAGAACAGCCTGCATGAGTTGGTTTCTCTCCTACCATGTGGACCCAGGGATCAAACTCAGGTCCTCAGACTTGGCCGCAAGTGTCCCCACCTGCTGAGCCATCTCACCAGCCCAAGAGATAGATTCTCTAGGTAAAGAATGAGGACATTGAAGGACTGGAGAGATGACTTAATGGATAAGCACACTTAACTTCTCTTGCAGAGGACTAGGGTTTGGTTCCCAGTACACATGTCAGGCTGTTCACAATGGCCTGCAATTCCAACTCCAAAGGAATATGATGTTTGTGGCCTCTGCAAGCACTCACACTCATACACACAAACACATGCACACACCTAATTAAAAAATAAGTTAGACACTTTCAGGGCAGGAACAAAAAAAATGAGAAAATAAAATAAGTCTTTTAAAAACAGGGATGAAGGGGCTGGAGAGATGGCTCAGTGGTTAAGAGCACTGGCTGCTCATCCAATGGACCCAGGTTTGATTCCCAGCACTCACATGATGGCTCACAGCCACCTGTAACTCTAGCTAGTTCCAGGGGATCTGACACCCTCTTCTGGCCTTGGGCACCAGCACCAGGTACATGTGTGATACGCATACATACGTGCAGGCAAAACACCCATACACATAAAATAAATAAGTAAATATATAAATCTTTTTTAAAAACCTAAAACAAAGCCAGGCAGTGGTGGCACACACCTTTAATCCCAGCTCTTGGGAGGGGAGGCAGAGGCAGGCAGATCTCTGTGAGGTCAGCCTGGTCTTCAGAGTGAGTTCCAGGACAGCCAGAAGCTACACAGAGAAACCCTGCCTCAAAAACAAACAAACAAAAAACAAACAGACAAGTGGTTAGATGAATGACAGAGAGGAACATGAGTAGATTTTAGTATAGAAAAAAATGACAAAGGTCTGGGGGTTGGATAGCTCAGAGGAAGAGCCTCGTGTACTCAAGGTCCTAGGTGTGACTCCTCTCCCCCAGGATCATAAAAGCAAAACAGTTGTGCAAACATCTTATTCCTTAAGATGAAAGTGCAAATACAAAGGAGCAACTTGGCAAAACACACTTAAAGAAAACTGACAAATAGTTAATGGTTCTATATAGGACCCATCAAAATAGTCCCCAAAGGAAAAAAAGGCAACCAGCATAGTACCAACAACACACAAGGAGAGACAAAACATTAGGTAAGAAAAATATTAGTGCTGAGAGGAAGGAGGCCAAGGACAGTGAATCCTTCTGAGTACCAGGCGCTCTGCCAGGTGCTTCGTATCTTTTTTTTTTTTTTTTTTTTTTTTTTTTTTTTTTTTGATTTGTCGAGACAGGGTTTCTCTGTTTAGCTTTGGAGCCTATCCTGGCACTCGCTCTGGAGACCAGGCTGGCCTTGAACTCACAAAGATCCCCCTGCCTCTGCTCCCGAGTGCTAGGATTAAAGGCGTGCGCCACCAATGCCCGGCTGTGCTTCATATCTTAACACACACAGAATTCAACATACAATGCCTTGCTTTTTTTTCCTTTTAAAGATTTATTATGTATACGGTGTTCTGACTGCATGTATGCCTGCACAACAAAAGAAGTTACCAGATCTCACTACAGATCGTTGTGAGCTGCCATGTGGCTGCTGGGAATTGAACTCAGGACCTCTGGAAGAGCAGCCAGTGCTGTTAACCAATGAGCTGTCTCTCCAGCCCCTAGGACTTGCTTTCCATGCATGGACCAGCAAGATAGCCCAGTGGGTCAAAACGCTTGCTGCAGAAGCATGACAAGCTGAGTTTGGTCCCCAGAAACTGGGTAAAAAGCTTGGAGGGAAATCACTGAAAGCCGCTCTCTGATGTTTTCATGTGTGCAGCAGCACACGCGTCCACAAATACATCATACGCTCACATACGCAGTAGTCAGTAGGCGGGTAATTCTAAAATGTCAGATGTGGTGGTGAGCGTCTGTGCCCCAGCCGTCTTAGGGTTAGATGAGAGGCAGAGACCCGAGAAGCATCCAGAATTCTGTGTATACAATGCAGAGGCAGAAACAAGAGAGACCCAGCCTCAAAAACAAGGAGAGAACTGACTCCCGAAAAGCTGGCCTCTGCATGCACAAGTGACATGCATTTACCATAAATAAATAATTGTTCAAAATTTATAATATGAGAGATAGCTCAGCAGATGTGAGCACTGGCGGCTTTTCCAGAGGTCCTGGGTTCAATTTCCAGCACCCACATGGCAGCTCACAGCTGTCTGTAACTCCAGCTCCAAGGGACCCTATGCCTTCTTCTGGCCTCTGCTGGCACCAGGCCTGTGCAGGCAAAATACCTACACACATAAAAATACCTACACACATAAAAATACCTACACACATAAAAATACCTATATACATAAAAATACCTACACACATAAAAATACCCATACACATAAAAATTGAAAGGCTCAGGACCCCCAAGGCCAAGGTCTCAGCACAAAGGAGGTTTGTTTGCCCCAGAGGGCAGGAATAAGGGAAAAAGACAGGAGATGAAGGGGAAGGGAACCAGAGAGAGGGGGAAGGGGTCTTTGTCCCAGAATGGGACAAAGGGCTGCCTCTGGGTAGAGGAGACAGACCTGGCTCACAGGCAAATGGCAGTTTATAAAGATAAAGGTTCAGGGGAGGAACCCCCCATGTTAGGATGAGCCGTTTAATCTTAATTGGACATGTTAATTAGGTGATCCAAAGGGGGTTTTGATTTCTGGACTTCAATACTTTGATGGCTGAACCATGGTAGTCAGCCTCCGGGGGAGGAAGGGGTCAAATAAGGAAATAGACCTTGATGGCTAGCTTTAGGAATGTCGTCTCACAGTTCTGAGTAAGGCAGAGGGAATGGGAGAGAAGGGCAGGACCTGCCAGCGCCATGTTTGCCATGCCGGGGCTGGCTAGAGTCCCTTCAGAAATGAATAAACTGTAAAAAATAACGACATGTCCCTGAAAGAACCTTAATGCCAAATGCACTAACTTTTGTTCTTACAGTTGCACAGTGTTCCACTGTCTGGATACCTCATAATTTATTTGCTCAGCCTCTGCCAATGAACATTGTCGGCCGTGTTTTGTGATTACATGCCCATGTCACAATATATGATGTTCTCTGCAGAGTATAACTTTCCCTGTACAATATAATGTTAGCCACACACGAGTGTATCTGTGAGGGGAATTCCTAGGGTGGACTGCTGAGTCAGAGGGCACGTGCATGACATCTCGTTAGGTTTGTCTAGCTCACCTCCGTGCAGTCTGCTGGTTTCGACTCTCGCCAGTGGTGTACGGAAATCACTTCCCCTCACATTCTCACCTGCAAAGTGAATTAGCAAGTATTTTTTACTTTCCCTAGTTTTTGAATGTGTGTGGGTGTTTCCTTGGTGGAGTTTGAATTCACTTTTCTTTTTGGAGAAAGCTAAGGTTTTTATACTCCCACTTTGTGAAACGGTCTTATCTTTTATTGCTTTCTGTTGGTTTGAGTGGGCTTGTACTCCTCAACGTGTAGCATTTATCAGGAGAATGGACTCTCTCTGGGATTATGGACTGTAACCATTTCATTTTTTTGAGACAGAGTCGCAGGTAACCCTGCTGGCTCAGACTTGCTATGCAGCTGAGGAGGACCTTGCACATCAGGTCCCCCCAAGTGCTAGAATTACAGCCACACACTACCATACCAAAAGTAAAGTTCATTATCTTTATTGTGGGGGGAACTGGAGATCAAAGTTGGTGTCTTGCATGTGCTGGGCAAGTCCTCTAAGCTACCTCCCCTGCGGATTGGTAAACTTTTAAACAAGTTCTTTATTTACCTTTTGACTTGAAAGAGGCTTGTTTAGAAATAAAATCCCTGGTTAGGACACTAGCTCGGTAGTAGAGAGCCTATAGTTGTAAGGCCCTGGACTCCAATGCCAATACTACAAATAAAAAAAAAGATACTATTGCCCAGAGGGATGAACCCTCCTGTAGAGCAGGCCCTTGGCAAACCAGACCCCAGGGTCACAGTCATTTTAGTCCTGTAATTTACAAGCACGTGTGTCTTTTATCATCCAGCCTCATCTGTAAAGCCAGAGTGGAGGCAGGTGGCTTCCTTCCTGACTGAAAGAGATTGGATTAGATTTACATCCTTTGTCACATAAATGTCCCACAGCTGGACGGTAGCACAGCGTGGTTAACATAGCAAACCCCAGGTACCCCGGGACCCCAGCCCAGCCTGCTCAGTTAGTCCCCTGTCTGTCTCCCCACGACAATTCCCACCTCCACCGCTTTATCTGGACTTATACCTCTCTCGTTTCTCACACAGCAATCCTTGGCCAAGTCTGCATTTTTCCGGCAAAATTCAGAGAGAAGAAACTTCAAACTGCTGGACACTAGGAAGCTGAGTCGGGATGGAACTGGGTCCCCTGTGAGAGCCAGCCCTCCTTCTACCCCTAGCAGCCCGGATGACACGTTCTTTAACCTTGGAGACCTACAGAATGGCAGGAAGAAGAAAAAGATCCCCAGGGTAACACATACTTCAGAGTCTGAGATCTGAGATTCTCCCCCCCCTTCTCTGTAGAGGAAGTTGAGGAGAGATAGTATGAGGTCCTCTGCTTTCTGTGTCACCGTGGGAAGAGGGACACAGTGAAGCCAGCAGACTAAGATACGTGGATCATCTTCTCAGTTATTATTGTGGCCCCGTGCTCTTCCCCTTAGCTGTTCCTCTCCCTGTCTCCTTAGCTAACTTTTGATTCCAGTCTTTTCCTGCCTCTGTGTGTGTGTGTGTGTGTGTGTGTGTGACACAGAGGGAGAGGGAGGGAGGGAGGGAGGGAGGGAGGAGCCAGAGAGTGAGTTTCACACTTGGCAGCCAACACTCTTGGCCACTGACCCATCTCTCTAGTCCCAGAACCCCCACACTTTTTTGCTATGTGATATGCCTCAACTGCGCATGGTAGATTTCCCTCTTTCTGGAACCCCAGGTTAACTTCGAGGCTACCGCTATGGAAAGGAAAAGTGGGGTGGGGCGTGGCCTCTGGAGCTCTGCTGAAGGTGTCTTTCAGTAATGGTGCTGTTGAGTGGCTCCCCTGAGGAACACAGCTAGAGGTGAAGGACATTTGAGGACAACTGGAAATCTTAGTCACGGAGGCCTAGAAAGTTAAAGACAAGAGGCTTTTGAGATAACCTGGCCCTCATCTTGTAGATGAAGAAATCAGCTGAAAGAGGTCAAATAATGGCCTGCTGGTACCAAGATGTAGAGGGGGCCAGAAAATTGAAAGTATGGTAAAAATACAAATGAAGTCTTTTTTTTTTTTTAAGATTTTATGTATTTATTATGTGTATACAGTCTTCTGCCTGCATGCCAGCAGAGGGCACCAGATTTCATTCAAGGTGGTTGTGAGCCACCATGTGGTTGCTGGGAATTGAATTCAGGACCTCTGGAAGAACAGTCAGTGCTCTTAACTGCTGAGCCATCTCTCCAGCCCACAAATGAAATCTTTAGCCAGGTAGTGGTGGCACACGCCTTTAATCCCAGCACTCAAGAGGCAGAGGCAGGAGGATCTCTGTGTTTAAGGCCAGCCTGGACTACAGAGAGAGTTCCAGGACAGCCAGAGCTGCACAGAGAAACCCCATCTCAGAAAAAAATAAATAATTGGATATTTATTTAGGTGTAGTTGTTCAAGTCAATAGTCTGCTCAGGAGGAGACTGAGGCAGGAGAATCACCATGAATTCAAAGCCAGCCTGGGCTACAAACTGAGTTCCAGATCATTCCCCACCCCCCAAAAAAGAGAAGCAGAGCCAAGCGTTAGGCTCAGTGGTGTACACAGAACCTGGGTTCACTCCTCAGCACCCCAAAAAGAAAGAAATGATAAAGTCCTTTTGGTGTGGGCATCTGAGGCACATACGCTGTGGATGTGCACTCCTTGACAACCAGCCCCTGGGGTCTGGCTCAGCATGTGAATTCACTCAGCGGCTCAGAGAAGAGAACAGAGGATCAAGAGACAGCCCACATGGCATGGAAGGCGCTGTGGCGTGAAGCAGGAGCTCTGAGAACTCCTGTGGGTTGGGTGATCTTAAGCCCTGGGGTGTGTCCCATTCCTGAGCATGGTGGTGCACTTCCATGCCACACGTATGCTGCTGTGTAACCAGGGAACCATGAGGTTCCTGCATCGAGCCCCCTTTGCACAGTCCAGATCGGGACTCTGAAGCCACTGTCAGCTCTATTCCCACCCGCTGGGGACTGTTCAGACATCCTTTGCTTGGTTCTCACCAAAGTGGCCCTGCCTGGGAATTATTTTTTCAGTCTTTTCCTTCTCTTGTTTTGTTTTGGGAGTAAATAGTTATTTCCTAAGCCACAGTGACACCACAGCATTAAAGTGTCAGACAGGGAGCTGAGTGACACTGTGAGCCAGGAAATTGTGTGTCCCTTCCCCCAGCCTCCCAAGTGTCTCAGCTGGGTGCAGGACGGTTTAGACCCTGACTGCCCATGGGGCGGTGAGGATAGCCTCTTTCAGTGTGGTCACAAAGAATGATCGGAGGACAGGCAAGGCAGTGGAAAATGTGTCCCCTCCCCGGTTCCCTGACTTTGTCAGCCTAGGCAAGCCATCCACAGCAGAGAGGGAGTTAACACTGGCCTTTCTTCTGCTATCTGGCAGCTGGTATTGCGGATCAATGCCATCTATGAGGCCCGGAGAGGAAAGAAAAGGGTGAAGAGGCTATCTCAGTCCACAGAGAGCAACTCAGGAAAAGGTAGATACCTCTGCCCCACCCTGCGGCTGTCCTCACCACAGTCTGAAGGCATCCTTCCCAGAGAGCACGTCTTCTGTTGTTTCTTGGCTCACTGAGGAGGAAGCCAGTGGCTGCTTCTTGTCTGCCCTTCCTCTGGGACAGTGCTGCATGCTTCAGCTTCCTCTGCCTCGTCACTACCATCCAGTCAGCTGAGGGCTTCGCGTCACCTGACTCTGGCAGCAACCTTCCTGGCTCAGCTACAATAGAGGTCTCCTGCCTCTTCTTGCTGTAGTCTGATAGAGGAGTCACCTTACCCAGAGCCAAATTGGTTTGCTAACACATTAAGTCGAGCAGAATTTGACTGGCATATCACACCGTTAACAAAACACCCCCTTTGGCCTGGAAGTTTGGGGTCTGTTTCCTGCGCTGGAACTCACATCTGCCTCTTACTTCCTTGTTCTTTTGGTCCAGTGACAGATGACAACAGCGAATCTGACAGTGACACTGAGGAGAAGCTGAAAGGTGAGGAGAGAAGGGCGTGTGCGGAAGCTGCTATAGTCATGGCTCCCTCCCACTGTAGAGGGACAGACATAGATAGCCTGTTCAGGCCTTGCTTGGTCTGGGAGGACCATAGGACCTAAAGTGTGAGCAGAGGTGGGCCAGATGGGGTTGTGACAGTCGTGTGACCACTTTTTCCTGTGCCTTAGAGGATGGGATGCCAGGCCCCACACTTGATAATGGCTGTGGATTACGAGTAATCTCTTAAGATCTGGTTCCTCCATTGCCATATGAAAGAAGAAGAACAATTGGTCCCTGGGGATCAGTTCAGTGGTCCAGGCCCAAGCTTTAGTGAGTTTCCTGAGACTTCTCCGACCCCATTGGGGAACAGAGAGGGCAGCCGGTGCTGACCACGGTGACAAGACTCTTCCCCTTATTGGCCCCACCTAAATTACCTCTGACACCATCTACTACCTGGGCCAACCCCAGAATAAACAAGTCCATTCCCACTGCAGAGAACTGACCGGGGCAGAAATGGGAGTGAGTTCTTGAGATAGCCGGGTGTCTGCCGTTGTGCCACATGGGATCTTTACAAAGCTCTCAGCTTTAAAAGCTCCATGGTCTGGATTGTGTCACGTCACACAAACTGAAAAACGATGGGAGTCCGTGATGGGAAATGTACAAGTCTCTCCACCCTTTAGGTGGAGAGCAAAGCCCTGTGGAGCCTCCAGCTTGAGGCTTGATGGTAAAGCCCGGGCCAGTCCTGAGCCCCAGACCCTTGGTGTGGCAAGTGACGCATGCCTTCACCTCGAGTTTGGCCAGAAACCCGTAGAAATGATTTCCTACTGATTTTCTAGATGTGGAAAGACTCGGGGGATTAGAAAAAGTACCAAAGCTAGAAATTACATAATCTGTCAAGCACTGAGCAATTCCACATTGGCAAATGAATCACGTCAAGCCTGTGGCTTCCTTCCCTCCACAGCTCACAGCCGGCGCCTCGTCAATGTGAAGTCACGCCTCAAGCAGGCCCCTCGGTACTCTTCACTTGACCGGGATCTCATTGAGTACCAGGAGAGGCAACTCTTCGAGTATTTTGTGGTCGTGTCTCTGCACAAGAAGCAGGCAGGGGCTGCCTATGTGCCAGAACTCACCCAGCAGTTTCCTCTGAAGGTAGGGAAGACAGGTCCCAACAGGTTGCCTGGGGACTACCACAGTCTGGTTATCAGCTTGGATTCAGGGAAGTGAGGCAGCCTGGGAAAGACTTAAGGTCTAGAACTTTCTAAGTGAGCCCTAAGGAGTGTCTGCCACATAAAAAAAACAAAAAATTAGTACTGGAAAACATAGTGGGCCCCAAGAAGACAGATTAAAGAGTGAAAAACTGGCCAAAGGCAGATCTCTGTGAGTTCAAGACCAGCCTGATCTACAAAAGCGAGTTCCAGGACAGCCTCCAAAGCTACAGAGAAACCCTGTCTTGAAAAACCCAAAAAAAAACCCCAAACAAACAAACAAAAAAACACACTCACACACACACACACACAACTGGCCAAAAATACTCCCAGGTATGGTGGCATAGTCTTTAAACCCAGCACTCAAGAGATAGAAGCAGAGGCAGGTGGATCTCTGTATGTTGGAGGCCAATCTGGTCTACATAGAGAGTTCCAGGATAGCAGGGCAAACAAACAAAATCAACTTCTTCCAGGGACTGGGGACATCGCTTAGCTGTTAAAGTGCTAGAGTTGCATGAAGCCCTAAGTTGATCCCCAAGCCCACATAAATTGGGCAGGCAGGGTAAGTGCACACCTGTGGTCTCAGCACTTGAGAGGTAGAGAAAAAGGATCAGAAGTTCAAGGTCATCTTCAAGGGCACACAGTGAGTTCAAGGCCAGCCTGGGATACAGGACACCCTATCTCAAAACAAAACAAAACAAAACAAACAAAAACCTTTCACAGACTGGAGAGATGTCTCAGTGGTTAAAAGCACTGACTGCTCTTCCCGAGGTAGGTCCTGAGTTCAATTCTCAGCAACCACATGGTGGCTCACAACTATCCATAATGAGATCTGGTGCCCTCTCCTGGCCTGCAGGAATACACCCAGGCAGAACACTGTATACATAAGGGACCTAAAATAAAGGGCTCTTAATAAAGCCTGCAGTGACACTGAAGTTACTCTTCGGCTTTTAATCTATATTAAATTGTCTACTGTATTCTAATTCAGTCCAACCAGAATTAACATTTAGACATTCAGGTTATTTCTGCTGGGCCCCAAGTGATTATAAAGATAAATAAAATGGGTTTCCTGTCCTTTAGGAAGGTACACCAGAAGTATGTGTATGCATGCTCAGAAGCTGTCAGGAAGTAGACAGTCACACAGTCACACAGACCAGGGTCCCGGAAAAAGGGGAGCTCATCTTGATTCATGTTGGGCTTCTGTGGCAACCGCTTCATGCAGGACCCTTCCAAGGCCTGAACTCTGCCCTTCTGCCTGCTTGTGTCCTTTCCAGGCAGCCCTCTTTCATTATGGTGGACTAGCACAGTGCCCCTGGAAGTAACCACAGGCACACGCCCTCCCCCAGGCACCTCCCCGCTTCCTTTAACTGCCACGCCTTTAAGGAACACTCTCCTAAAAACCCCCACTGCATGGATGTCTGGATTTTGGGGTCTTTCCCAGTTGAGAGTCCCAGTAGGCACCGGGGCACGGAGGACCGTCTTGTCATTCTGCACTACCCTCAGTGCCCAGCACTTTGCTGTGCACACCGTCACACTTAACTGGTGCTCCAGGCACAAAGGCATTAAGTCATGAATTGATCACTGAATCATCAGAAGTGCTGAATGCTCGCCATCTCCAGCCTGGAGCCTTTGGACTCAGACTTCCACTGAACACCCTTTTCTAGGAGATAGTTAGAAGTCACCATTGAAAACGGAGCTAATTCAGATATATATGGCCCCATGCTGTTCACAGCTAGCATGCCATTGTTTTGGCCTCTAGTCTTGGCTCAAACTGAATTTCCTCTGTCTTCATACTGCAGCCATTGTGATGGATTTGTGCCATGACCCATGCACAGCCTTTTAAACATATTATCTTAAAACATATTTAATACAAATTCTGAAGCATCGTTTTGAGTGTTTAAGACATCACTCTGTTTAAGTGATGTCTCTCTCTGTTGGAAATGTGGATTGCTCCTGATTTTTCTTATGTACATTTGTTTTATTTTGTTCATTCTGGTTCATTCTGGACCTCCTTCTTTTGTTCTGAGATAGGGTTTTATATATAGCCCGAGTTTGGCCCTATTTATTTAGATTTTTGATAATTTTGTTGTTTGGGGGCTTTTTTGTTCATATTTTTGGTGGTGGTTGTTATTTGCACATGTGTGCATGCGTGCATTCCTGTGTTTGTGCTTCCATGAACACATTCGTGTTGAGACAGGGTCTCCCCATTTTGTCCTGGCTGTCCTGGAACTCGCTCCATAGACCGGGCTGGTCTCGAACTCACAGAGATCCACCTGCCTCTGCCTCCTGAGTGCTGGGTTGTTTTTCTTTTTTTAAAGATTTATTTATTTATACAGTGTTCTGTCTGCATGTACCCCTGTAGGTCAGAAGAGGGCACCAGATCTCATTATAGATGGTTGAGAGCCATCGTATGGTTCCTAGGAATTGAACTCAGGACCTCTGGAAGACCAGTTAGTGTTCTTAACCACTGAGCCATCTCTCCAGCCCTAAATAATGAATCTAATCCCACATCCAATGATTACCTTATTCAAGGTTGGCAATCCACATTTCACACTAATAATATTCCATTAAGCCTGGTGAGGTTGCTCACACTTGTAATCCTAGCACTTGTGACTGAGGCAGGAGAATCTACATACTGTCTCAAAAAAGTAAAACAAGAAAAAAAAAGTAAAAAAAAAAAAAAAGCAAAACAAGGATCTGAAGAGACGGCTCTGTGGTTAAGAGCACTTGTTACTCTTCTAGAGGACTTCGTTCAGTCCTTGGCACCAAGATCAGGTGGCTCACAACTGCCTGTGACTCCAATTACATGGGATCTAGTGCACTCTGCCCTGCAAGGGCACCTTCACCAACCTAATAGATGTAAACTCACCCAGGTGCACACACAGGTACATAAAAGTAAATAAATAATAAGAATAAAAACAAAGCAAAAAAGCCAGGTGTTGATGACACACGCCTTTAATCCCAGCATTGGGGAGGCACAGGCAGGTGGATCTCTGTGAATTCAAGTCCAGCCTGGTCTACAGAGTGAGTTCCAGGACAGCCTCCAAAGCTACAGAGAAACTCTGTCTTGAAAAAAACAAAAAACAAAAAAGCAAAAAAACTATAAAATAAGCAAACTCATTACTTTAATTTTTTTTTTTTTTAGTTTATTTTGACATGGAGTCTCACAGAGCCAGGTCAGCCTTGAACTCACTATCTAGCAAAGCAGCTGAGATTATGTATATGCACGACCACGCCCAGTCTTCATGATATTAAATATAATGTCTCAATCAGACTTTAATGCATCCTCATCCTTCCTATCTGTACTGCCTGAGTTCTGTCCTGAGCGCTGGGGACAGAGACCAACAGTCAGGATGGTTTTCCTTCTGAACTCACTGGGTGACCAGGACCAATCACTTACCATCACAGGGCTAGTTGGTCTCACTGTGTAATGTGGCCGTGCTCTCTGTAGTTGCTATGAGTATTAGCACACCTGGAGGTCAGAAGAACTGAGGAAGAGCTGTGTGCAGCGCTGCTCCCGTTCCCATGAGCTCCCTGATGGGCAGGGGTTGCCATGGAGACTTTTCCGTACTAAGCAGAAACGCTGTATCCCAGGGTATTAATGTCTCTCTGAAGCATGGGATCTACTGTCTACCAATTGCCCTCTCAGACTACAGTTGCACTGTCTTGGGGAAAATAGCCCACAGATGAGCTCCAAACCCTTCCCCAGGAAGTTGCTGAGCGGGTCACAGCCAGAGCTGTTTCCTTTCTCCTTATTAAGGTTTAGTCTGCCATCCTCTCCCATCTTCCTCTTTGCAGTTGGAAAAGTCATTCAAGTTCATGAGAGAGGCCGAGGACCAACTGAAGGCTATCCCGCAGTTCTGCTTCCCTGATGCCAAGGACTGGGCTCCGGTCCAGGAGTTTACCAGGTAAGAGCTTCCGACGCCCCTCTCCCCACATCCGAAGTTTGAGAGTTGGATGGGGGAGGTGAGGAGGTCATAGATGGCAGAGCCTGGAACTTAGGAGTTAAGCAATCCTGATGGGCACCAGCCTAGTTTTCCCTGTGAGTTTTTGAAGTTTCCCTGAGACAAGAGACACCTTCTCAGTGGGCATTTATGAAGCCCCCACACAGTCTAGAGGTCTGTGTGTTTCAGAAGCCTTCCCAACATAATCCTTATCTGGGAAAAATCAGGGAACCGGACCACTGTCTGTCACCCACACGGGCTGGAGAATCATTCTAGTGGCCTCTCTGGCTGCTACTCCGATTGGGATCTGTTCACATTTCTGCTTCAGAGCATGTGTGGTGTTAGCGGCCAGCGTTTGGCCCAACTCAGTAGGCTCATCCGTGCTGAGTGCGTAGGGACGCTGTGTCCTGTGAAGTCGGCCTGCAGTTTTGAAAGCAAGCCTCAAGGCAGCTGTGTAAGAACCTCTCTGTGAGAGAACCACACCCTGACCTTCCACTAGTGAAGAGACACCCCTCTCCCTCCTCTGCAGTCATAGTGAATAACTGATACTTCTATACCCTAGGGTAGCTTGGGTGACAGAGTTACGGGACAGCTCAGGGTAGAAAAATCTCTCTCAGGACATTTTCGCTCTGCCTCCTTTGACATTTACTTGGGTGACTTGACAAAAGGATGGACAATGAGAGCCAAGAGCTTGGAGCAGCCTCGCCTTCGCCCTTGCTGACTGCCACTCCCTGCCGCGGTGGGGATATGCCTTTGGGTTTGTCATGTTTTGTAACCTGTTTGTGTTCTCACAACCACAGTGAAACGTTCTCATTTGTCTTAACTGGAGAAGACGGGAGCAGAAGGTTCGGTTATTGCCGGAGACTGCTGGTTAGTACTCTGTGCCTTTCCCTCAGCCAGAGCTTCCTAGAGCACCAACCCTTGAGACTCAGGTTTCGCCTACCCTGCTGGAGAAGCAGGTAGTGGCAGGTTAACCACGGAGTAAAGAAGATAGGTAACATTGGACCTGGTAATGCACACCTGCAATCCAAGTACCAAAGAAGTTGAGCAGGAGGCTCTTGAGTTCAAGGTCAA